GTCTTAAAATTCTACTTGAGACTAATAAACCTCATTTTGGTAAAATATTTAAATATAAAAACACACATAAATAAAGAAAAGCAACATTTCTTAGGTCAATTCTGTAGGCCTATTTTAAATGGAAACATTAAAAATTAAAAACAAAATTAACTATATGCTGAAAACTCCTAAAGTTTTAAGTACTTATTAAGTAAAAATCTTAAATATATTACTATGGATAATCAGCAGGAAATTAAAACTTTCTTAAAATGGAGTTTGATCCTCAGAGACTATGCGTTATACATTTTGTATTTCGATTTTATTTTAGGCCTGGGACATGCACTGTGCGCCGGATCAAATAAATATGGATGAAGATATAGTCCAATCAATATGGAAACATATTTGTTAACAATTAATAAATTTACAAAACATAAGAATATTATACTAAAAGTAAATAGAGTTAAAATAGAAAGGAAAAACCTTAACGTATGAGAAAGGTAAAAAGCATAATAGAGGCCAAAACAGCCGGTGACCCCTATAGTAGCAGATCTAGTAGTAGCGATGCAAAAGAGTGTTCCTCTGATGAGGCCCATCATGAATTTTAAGATATTTAATTATCTTAACACTGTCAATTAGCTAGCCAAACTAGTAATCGTAGGGATATGGAATCTCCTCGACATAGTCTAAAAGTGCAGGTATGGTAGCACATAATAACAATAAATATTTTAAAAAAGTCGGAATCATTAGATAATGTTAATTGTGATATTTCATCCCCCTCAAAATCGAGGATGCAAAATCCTTTTAATTCTTCTTCTGATTTACCGGAAGAACCTGATACTCCTAAAAAAATAAATAACGAATCTGAAAATAAAATGCCTATATATCTTTATTCTCCTAAAAAAACGTATGAAAATGCAGAAGAATCTAAATTAGCTATAACTTCTGATTTTAAACAAAAAACTATAATTTACATGTGGTTTAATAAAGTTACAGGAAAAGTTTACATAGGAAGTGCTGTAGACGGATCAAAACGTTTATCTAGATATTTTCAACTTTCTGTATTAAAAAAAAGTAAATCTAAAATTTATCGTAATATATTAAAATATGGTCATAGCTCATTTGTTGTCAGTATTTTAGATGTATTAGGTGAATCGGGTAGTGTTTCAAAGACTGATTATTTAGCAATAGAACAATTTTATGTCGATTGGGCTTTTGAATCCTATGGTTCTGAATTAGTATTAAATATTCTTCATAAAACAAATTCAAGTTTAGGGTTTAAACATAGTGAAGAATCTAAAAAAGTAATCGCAAAATTTAGACTAGGTAAAAAACACACTGATGCTACTAAACAAAAACTTAGTGATATGTTTACAGGTGAATTGGCCCCCTTCTTCGGTAAATCTCATACAAAGGAAACTTTAAGTAAAATGCGTGCATCTAAATTAGGGGAAAAAAATCCTATGTTTGGAAAAACTAAGTCCCCTGAATTCATTTTACAGCAAAATAAAAGACTTTTTGGACCGGACAATCCTATGTTTGGAAAAAAATTACCAGAATCTACATTAGCTAAATTGAGTAAGTTTATCTATGTATATGATATAAATGATAATAACAAATTATTAGGTATTTTCTCTACAGTTAAATGCTGCCGAGAATTTAAAATGTGTTATAATACGTTAAAAAAGGTGTTAAATAACGATGGTATATATAAAAATCGTTTATTTTCTCGAAATCCTATTAATGGCTAATTTATTATTTGTTAACAACTTGCTACAGTCAATGCCTCGTCGTATTAGTGATTACCCTGATGCTTTTGCTGGATGAAATTTAATTTCTAGTTTTGGGTCTATCATTTCTGTTATAGCTACTGCTTTATTTTTATACATCGTATATGAACAATTAGTTTATGGTAAAGCTGTTTCAAGAAATCCTTGATTAGCTCCTCAATTTTACTATGATCTTTTACAGACATTATTAAATAGAGCTACGAATTCATTAGAATGATGTTTAACTTCTCCTCCTTCTCCTCATCCATTTGTTTCTCTGCCATTGCAATCAGGTCTTGTATAGCATCAGCGTACAAGAATTTTCTCCTTCTTCTCCTTTTGCTTTTCTTTTTCTCCAGTTCTAGTACCAAAGGGGTTTAACAAAGTTAAACCTAACCCAGCTACGGGGCGTTTATTTAAATGCCCCATTAAATTGAAACTTTGCTCATCCCACTTCATATAATAAGGAATTTTTTTTTTTAATACAAAACTTTAAGGGCCTCCGCCTTAATATGAGTCTAACTGACTCCGGCGGGATTGCTAAAAAAAAAAAAAAAAATTCTAAAGATTTTAATATTAAATCTTATTTAGCAATGAAACATAAATCAAACAAAAGTTTGTACGAAAAATTATTGCTAATTTTAAATTCTATGTCTACAAATATTAGAAATTGTAGTTCCTTTGCCTGTGAAAGTTTCATTCAACATAGGGAGTACTACCTGATCCCATCCAAGTTAAGAGAAGTCTAGAAAAGAAAATAAAAAAAGTTCCTGCGAGATACAAAGGAAATAGGAAAGACTATAAGGCAAAAATTTAACAAATAATTTATTACTAAAGAGTACACTATACAGTTACAACCAATGCTGTATCAATATCCTGAATTATATATAGCCGTCTTTGTAATCTCGCCGCCAATCTCAAGTTACATAAGAGACTTTATACCGCCAGAATTTCAAGTTCAAGCATGCCTAGCCTTCCTCGAAATGATAAACAATATCTAAGGAGTAACTTTGTTTTTGTAAAAATTGTTCCTCAACAAAGAAGAAACTTGTATAAACTAGCAAGGAAGGTTCAAGTTAAAAGTTATTCGAGTAAGATTAACATAAAATAATTGTATCAAGTTATGCTAAAAGGACCGCATAATAAGAAATGATTATGTTCTTTGGTAATTCCTTCGTATCGGATAAGTCCAAATCGCAAGTAAACAGTCAAAAAGATTAGCTTCCCGTAGGTGACAGCGGGATTAAGTTTCAAGTTTGAAGCTAAGAAGATTGTTCCTTTGTGCTAAGCTATTTAACCTGTCCTCGAATGAAACTTGGGCTAACACAAGAGTATCTTTGAAAAGTGTTTGAGTATAGAGAGTTAATCACTCCTAAGGGGTGACTAAGTCCTGTTCTTTCAAATTCAAGCGAACAGTATTTAAATATGCTGGAGAAAAGTGTCCTTCCCAGTATCTCCGATGGGTCCGAAATATGCGTAAGCCTAGTAAAAGTAGGGGGAAAACAATTTAAGCTGCGCAGCCCAAAAAATAGTCCCAGAGCATACGAAAGTTCACATGACTCTTCTTTATGAACTTTCTCTAATTCTACATTTACTACAGGTTAGCCAAACCAAAGGATTCCTAATAAGAAGATACTTATCCGAGTGCTATAATACGAATCGTTCGCTATATTTCAAGCTGCTTCATTTGGTTTATTATGTATCCGCGAATATTCGAAACTGTAGCTCTTATGCATGTAAATCCTTAGTAAATTCCAGAGGATGTCTACCCGACCCAATACAAAAGGTTAGAAAGTTCAATGCCGATACTATTATAAATTTTCTGATTTAGAAGTTCTTAAACAACCTTCCAGACCCGAAATATTAGGAGTTAAATTCGGAATAAAGAAAGAATTAAAAAGGGAGTTCAAGTCACTACTTATGTCCTGGTTACCGAAATTCGTGTAAACAAAATTGTCTTAAAGAAAGATATGATAGAACACCTGTTGGATAATAGAGAGATATGGCTATAATGAAAGTTTAATTTAAGATAGTCTAGATAAGTAAAATAGTTAATGGTATACTAGTTGGATACAAATAATTTTTTAGGATTCAATGTTTGGGTAAATTAAAACTGATTCTTGCAAACATCTTCAGAAGCTCAAAGGACCGCTTAATCTAGAGAATGTACCAAAAATCAATAAAAATCGCTCCATGGTTCAGTCTCTATGAAAATTCCAAATGAGAGGAATTACTAATAGTAAATTTTTGTTTGTAGAATTGTTTTTAAGTTGATTTTGTAATTATTCCTGATAGTGCTTAAATTAGAAGTTCAAGGAATACCATGGAACTAGGAAAGACAAGATGGCCAAAATTCAACTAATAAATTATTACTAAAGAGTAAATAAAAAAAAAACATCATACTATGTGATTTCTTCTTGATAAAGAGCTTTTAATGAGACAAATAGAAGCGTATGAAGCAACCCTAGCAATTTTAAATTCACTTCCAGATGGAGTACCAGCTGAACAACTAAGTGAAAATATTTCGAATGAAATTACTCCCACGGAGTGTGTTCCTGAAGAAAGTGAAAATAACCAATAAATCCAGAGAGGGAAAATGTCTTTAACTCATTGGACTAAACACATGAACTAAAAAGTAAGTTTGTATCTCTATTGAAGCATTAGTGAGTTAAATAATGTTCTACCGTTTCTGGCTTAGAGTTTAAAGACTTTTCCAAACCATCGGATTTACCTAAATCCCCCCCTTGTCAACCAAAGTTCTATTTTGTAGGAAAATAGTTAAGTCACGGCATGCTAAAGGACCGCATGCCGTCGAGTTCGATGAAAATTACCAATTTAAAGTAACCAAATATCCCAATGTCATTGTCGAGAAAGCCGGGTTCTTATCGTTGACCCAAGTGGGAAGACAAAGAATAAGTTTCAAATATCCGACCTCGAATATTGTAAAATTACCTAGTGCTTGTCACTAGTCAAAGGAAATTTTTGTTTTTAACACAAAACTTTATAAAATAGAAAAAAAAAAAAAATTATATTGTACTTTCTATAAGTAACAGATTAATAATAAAATTAGAAAGGAAACACCTTTAATAACAAAACTAGGTCATAGCTAATAACTATGGCTGATTGATAAAGGAAATAACAGCGAGTTTGATGGTGGCTCTGATTGAATGCTATTCAAATGCTTGACACATGCTAATCGAACGCCTAGTTTATTTATAATAAAAACTAGAAAGTGGTGTACAGGTGAGGAAAGGGTATGTTTACTGCCTTAGAGCAAGGAGAAATACCTTATAAAACAAAGAAATTATTAAATAAATAATTTTGCTTTAAGATGTTATCTTAATACCTCGGGTAAGTAGAGTAGTAGTTAAAGTAATGGTTTAACTAGCTTTATCTCGTAGTCGAGTCTGAAAGGTCCTTCGACCACATTGGAACTGAGACAAGTTCAATGCGATTTTTTTTTGCACTGCAGTGGGGAATATTGGTCAATAGCCTAACGGCTGAACCAGCGATTTGAAGGAATGAAGATCTACTTTGAAATATAAGAAGACTAAAATTCTGGTTAGTAAAATGATAATGACAATTTTCTATCTAAATGTCTTGACTAATTCACGTGCCAGCAGTCGCGGTAATACGTGAGAGACTAGCGTTATTCATATTTAATTGGTTTAAAGGGTTACTAGACGGTAATTTTTGCCTTTGAATGGGGACAGAGTTACTAGAGTTTTATGTGAAAAGTATATTTAGAACTCATGGTGTAGAACTGATAATTTAAAATACTATGGGGAATGATAAAGGCGAAGGCAAACTTTTATGTAAAAACTGACGTTGAGGAACGAAGGCAAGGACAGTGAATAGGATTAGAACCCTAGTAACCCTAGCAGAAAATGATGAGTGCCATAGGTTGTATTAAATTTAAATAGCCTATAAATGAAAATGTAAGCATTCCACCTCAAGAGTAATGTGGCAACACAGAAACTGTAACCATTAGACCAACTCCGAAACTAGTAGTGAAGTGTGTGTTCGACGTGAAGTGAAAGTTAGTAATGTGGTTAGATTCCACTGGGTTAGTTCTCAACCTTAACACTATTTACACATTTTGGTTAGTAATATAAAAAATGAAGATGTAAAGACAATGTAACTCAGCCTTGAATGGCAACGTAGTAATTTATTCCGGAGTGCTAGTGTAATGTAAAATATGGAGAGCGAAAGCAAAGATAGCAATGACACTCTGTAAAACTATGATTATGGAATGTAATGGTTTTGACGCACTAAGCCATTAGAGAAACAAAATTTCCATCGGGGTAAAGCTATCCTCCTAAGTTTTATGTGATAGTGCTAACTTTTGAACACGGTAAACCCTTATCCTCCCTGATATTACAGGAGGCGTCTTATATTAATAAATGGGCGTATCGGGGTGAGGGCAGAGGAGAAGTTAAAAAGCAAATGCTAAATCGTAACTGATTTTGATAAAGTAAATATTAAATCAATGTATTAATAATAGTCATTCTTAAATAAAAGATCAATTTTTTAGAGTCAGAGGAGGGTGGGCCTCTTAATACCTACCCAATAATTAAACAAAAAACTTTGGATACTAGCCTCTTGGTATGTTAAGATAGATTTCAGAGGGCGGTTTTCGAGAACCAGCTATGGGAAAGGTGCTGACACCTCTTTTTTTATAGTCCTGCGAAGGTATCTTAGCGTTTATCTTGAGGTTTGAGTCTCTGGAATTTTTCCCCCTTGTAGATATGAATAAGGAAATATTATTAAGAGATCGGTCCTATAATCGAGAGGAGCCTGGGTCACAAGTTCGGGCTAGAGTGAGCATTACTTCCATTTTCACTAAACCATAATGTGAAGAAGGCTCTGCCACTGACCGCTAGAGTAAGGAAGAAAATCCCATATAACTAGACATCTTTTTATCATAGAGCTGGAATATGTTGCAAAGAGCTTCGCAAGGTGCAAGTCCTTGAATGTATTCTTGACTTTAATCTTAATAATTAGGAACTTAGGAGTTACCTGCAATTGCGGACTTTTTCAGTGTCTTCAATATACATAAATAATACTAGTCACAACAATGATAAAAAATTTGAACAAATATATTTTACAGGGTTACTTATTTGGACAGCAGAATTGTTATATATCTACTACATCTATTAATACTTCTTCTTCTTCTGTACCTATTCTTGATCCTTGGTTTGTGGTGGGATTCACAGATGGTGAGGGTTCATTCACTATCACAATATATAAAAATAAGGAGTATTTTACTGGATGACAAATCCAAGCAATGTTTCAAATAAATTTACACGCTAAAGATTTACCTTTATTAAAACAGATACAATCTTTTTTTGGCGTAGGAACTATACGAACTAATAAATCTAATAATTCGGTGATTTATCGTGTAACAAACCAAAAAGAACTAATTGAAATAATAATCCCCTTTTTTGATAAATATTCTTTACTTTCACAGAAACGAGCAGATTTTGAACTGTTCAAATCTGTAGTTATATTAATGAAAAGCCGAGAGCATAGAACGATGGAAGGACTTCTAAAAATTATTAATATTAAATCGTCTATAAATAAAGGCTTATCCAAAACATTAATTGAATATTTCCCTAATGTTATACCTGTAAATCGCCCTATAATAGAAACAACAGAGATTCCGGATCCTGCCTGAATATCAGGATTTAGTTCAGCCGAATCTTGTTTTGATATTAATCTTATTAAAAATAACTCTAAATTAAACTATCAAACAAAACTTAGATTTAGAATCACTCAACATGTTCGAGATAGAGCTCTCCTAGGTTTAATTATAAAATCTTTAAATTGTGGAAGATTAGAAAATTCAAGAGATACGGTAGTATTTTGTGTAACCAAATTATTAGATATATTAAACATCGTAATACCGTTATTTGAGAAATATCCTATACAAGGTATTAAAGTGTTAGATTTTCAATATTTTAATCAAGTATCATTATTAATGAAAGACAAGGCTCATTTAACAGCTTCAGGCTTAGATCAAATAATAAAGATTAAGAGTAAAATGAATACTAATAAAGATGAAAACGAGCTATAAGAAATTATTAAACCAATTGAATCCATTTTACATTACTGGTCTTGTAGATGGTGAGGGAAGTTGAGGATTATCTATAAATAAAGATCCAAAGCGTACTGTAGGTTATGTAATAACCGTTGCTTTTGAATTAAGTTTACATAATAAAGATATTTATATATTAAAAGGACTGCAAGCTTATTTCGGAGTCGGAAAAATTTATAAAAATGCCGATAACATGATGCATTACAAAGTAAGTTCAATAAAAGATTTACAAAAAGTTGTCATTCCACACTTTGAAAAGTATCCTTTAGTTACACAGAAAAGAGCTGATTTTGAGATATTAAAATGTGTTATAGGTATTTTAAACAAAGGACCTCTTACTTCAGAAGATTTAAAACAAATAATAAATTTGAAAGCCTCAATAAATAGAGGTTTACCAGACAAATTAAAAGTAGATTTTCCTGATATTATTTCAGTCTGTAGACCGCCAGTAAAGTTTTTAGGAATTCCTGATTCTAATTGGTTATGTGGATTTGTTGAAGCTGAGGGATGTTTTTACATTAGTATATACAAATCTCCTAAGTCCAAATTATGTATGGCAGTTCAATTAGTATTTGTGGTTACTCAGCATATTCGTGATAAGGAATTAATTGAAGGTTTAAAAGAATACTTAAATTGTGGAAAATTTTCTGTTAGAAAAGGAAATGAAGCTTGCGACTATAAAGTTACTAGTCTTGCAGATATAAACGAAAAGATCGTTCCTTTTTTTTTAAAGTTCCCTCTGACGGGGACTAAATCCTTAAATTTCAAGGATTTTTTAAAAGTTGTAAATATAATGAATGAAAAAGGTCATTTAACAGCATCAGGATTAAAAACAATTGAAAATATTAAAGTAGGTATGAATACAGGAAGATCTTAAGATGACAAACAAAACAAAATTGATTTAATATTATAACTTGCACCGAAAGGTGGCTGACTTAACATACGGTGGACTAAAAAAAAGTCTGCTTGAGCGTAGTGTGATGAAAGTCGCACGCTGCGTTCTGAGGGGGGGAAGAGCTGAGAAGTTTTACCTATCCCACCTATTTAATTCGATGATCCACGAAAAATCTTACCACAATTTGAATATTTAGTGACAAGAAATTAATTTAATTTTTGTAAAAAAATAATATTTTTTTTTACTTCTTTTTACAAGTGTTGCACGGCTGTCTACAGTTGTTGCCGCGAGGCTTTGGTTGGCTCCAACAAGTTACGTACACCCTAATTTTATTTAAAACTAATTTCATTTTATGAAATAAATTATAAAGTTATTCATCTTGACATGAGATGTATTTATGGGATAAAGACAAGTCCTCATGACCTGCCGAGCGATTTTGGAAATTGCTCAAGTGGGAGAAACTATCAAACTCCGGGAAAATCCTAAAGCTTCTGGTACCAAACTATATTCGAAAGATTATAAGTGGATGAATTAGCAATTTATGTAAGGTAATAAGTCAGAAGATTTATGAAAATAAAATGGACAATCGCGGATCTAAATCAGACTATAAATTAAAGTCTGTAAAAGAGCAACGAGTATACGGTAGTTGACACAATCTTATAATGTGTTTAAGATGTACTCTAATGGGTTTCGAAAGAAACTATCAATTTAAAATCCCATCTAATCAAATAAATAAAGCATCATATTCTACTTTAATACCCCAGCCTAAGATGAACCCTTGGTTTTTTACAGGCTTTGCAGATGCAGAGGGTAGTTTCTCTATTTTAATTCAACATAATATTAAACATCAAACTAATTGAAGAGTTAAAGCTCTTTTTACTATAGGTTTGCATAAAAAAGATACAGCTATATTGGAATACATTAAATCTACATTAGGTGTAGGACAAATCCATAAGCACGGTAAAAATTCTGTACAATATCGAGTGGAATCAATTAAAGAATTACAAGTAATCGTAGATCATTTTGATAAATATCAACTAATTACACAGAAAGTATCTGATTATCTTTTATTCAAAAAATCGTTTGAATTGATTAAAAATAAAGAACACTTGGCTATTGAAGGCCTAAATAAACTTGTAGCAATAAAAGCCTCTCTGAATTTAGGTCTTCCAGATAATTTAAAGGAAGCTTTTTCAGACGTTATTCAGTTTAAAAGACCGGAATATACTTTTAAAGGTATTACTGATCCTTTTTGAATAGCAGGATTCACTAGTGGAGATGGTAGCTTCAATATAAAAATTAGTAGTTATACAACTAATAAATTAGGGAGAAGAGTTCAATTAATATTTTCAATAGGTTTACATATTAGGGAAAAGGAGCTTATCAAAGGTCTGGTTACTTTCTTTAACTTAGGGTATTCAAGCGAATCAAAGTCCGAAGTTAAAGATAAATATATTTATATTGTAAATGATTCTGTACATCTTCAAGTTATGAAATTTTCAGATATTATATCCATAATAACTGTTTTTGATAAGTATCCTATACAAGGAACCAAAAACTTAGATTTTGCTGATTTTAAGAAAGTATCCGAGATATTGAAAAACAAAGAACATTTAACTCCTGAAGGGTTTAATAAAATTTTAGAGATTAAAGCAGGGATGAATAAAGTAAGATTATAGCTAAATGCCTCCTATTATGCATTGTGTATTTTGACTGTACATTGTGTATTGAAGTGGGCCCCTCCCGGGAGGTTTAACATAAAGTTTAAAGTTTCCGTAGGGACTTTGACTCTGGCGCTCTTATTTAAGAGCTCCCCTCCATTATTTGTATGATAAATTTAATCGCTATGTAATATTGTGGGCTATAGACTTGCCACATTAGCTAAAACAAAGGGATGCTAAAATGTGAATATTCGCTAATCCCTAAACAGGATATAATATGGATTGTATGTCTGAAACTCGACTACATGAATAAGGAATTACTAGTAATCGTGCATCACCATGGCACGGTGAAACTTATCTCGGATAGGTACTAACTACTCGTCAAGCACTGAAAGGAGCACACGCAATAAGTTGAGTTTAGTTTAAATCATAATATAGTAATTAGACTATTAAGATGGTTTAGGATAGATTTTCGAATGTATGGCTGCGATTGGTGTTAAGTCGAAATTAAGCACCTTCTTTGAGCCAGAAGGAAAAAAGTTTCAAAAAGTATAGGTAAACCCTCTGCTAGTTCCTAAAGGGAGCAAAACCATCAAATTGCGGGAACATCTTAAAGCAATTTTTAACCAAGCGAGAACGGTAACGTATTTCGTGGCGCAGGTAATGACTCGCGGTAAGGTAAAATAAAAATTGATGTACGAAAGGAAATAGAAAATCCGCAGCCAAGTTCGAAATAAAATTCGAATGCAGTTCATCGACTAAATGTTGGTTGGCGCAAGCTTAAAATATAGTCAGACCTCAATCGAAAGATTTAGGGTAAGTACCTCAGCTCTCCTGAATTCTGGCGTCTACTAATTAGATGAGATGCAAAGATAGTATGGAAAAGAGGTAGATTCGACGGTTGTTGTAGAGGAATCTGCAGCGGACTTATAAAAAAATTAACAATACCCCCTATAGTTCAAAACTTCAACTTTATATAGGTAAAAGTTCTGGTTCAAATCCGGAATAAAGTAATGCTTTTTATTATTAGCACTTTTTATTGTCAGTCAATGCGCGTACTTTGAGCGGAGTTTTAAAAAAATTAATTAGGGTAGCTATTCTATGTAATTATATAGAATTTAAATAAATACATGAGAAGGGATATATGAAGGTTTATTCCAATCATCCTCTACAATGTATAGCTTTGTGTTAGTATTATTACTAATAGCTATAACATTATTAATTGTATATCGCCCTAGACGTTTAAAAGAACCAATAGGAGCTATAGTAAAGAAAATCTATTCTTTATTTTCAACCAATTATACATTTAGTTTTATGGTTTTACTTTTTTTTTTTTTGTATTCTTGTCCCTATAAGAATGCTGCTACTGAAAGAATTAAAATTCAACAAGAAACAGGGGGGGCTATCGGTAATATATCTTTTCAAAAACTTAACTACTGGGAACAGTATATTGGCTCTTCAACGAAAATTGCCAAAATATTTTAGTAAAAAAGGATTATTAAATAGTTCTTCTATGATGATTTGTAAAGCTTTACTTAAACACGATCTTGATAATTTTTCTTTAAGCATTCTTGAATATTGTGAACCCGGACAATGTCTGGAAAGAGAAGATTATTATATTAAACTTTTTAAATCAGAATATAATATCTTACAAAAAGCCGTATCTTGCTTAGGAATTAAACGTTCGGACGAAACTCGTGCTAATATGAGTCTGGCTAAAAAGGCTAGAATCACCCATTATTTGGAAAAACGTGAAGATCATACGCTATTTGGAACAACTCGTAGTGCTGAAACTCGGAAAAATAAGTGAAGCTAAACCGGCCATAAAGCACATTACAAACACTCATAAGAAACTAGTTCAAAAATATCATTTTCTATGCCTAATTCTAAAAAAAATAGAAGTCCTTGATTTAGAAACAAACATTATAACTCCTTACTCTTCAATTCGCGAAGCAGCTCGAGCATTAGGTATACCAAGACACTGAATTGATTATAATATTAAATCTAACAAAGAAAGACCCTAGAAAAGGTCGCTATGTTTTCAATAAGATAGATTAGCATTTCCATTAGAAATGGCGCCTCCCTACGTTTTGTCAGCTTTTATCTTTAAATATGACTTTTCCTATCCGCAACTGCTCCTTCTCTTTTAGCTTCCTCCAGTGCCTAAAATGGGTTAAAAAATAAGTAACCAACCCACTCCAGGAAGGTTCGAATCCTTTTCTTCCTAGTAATTAATTTTATTATTTAAAAGGGTAATAAGTCTGTGCTTCTGGCTCTATTAGATTAAATATTTATCTCTTGTTTTTTTTTTTTTTATGATGGTATCAGAAACGCCAATATTTAGTAATGTAAGTAAACCTAAAGCTGCGTTTTAGCTTTAAATTTTGATTAACACGAGGTGCTTTGGTTTTTTTTTTTTTTTGATACACTTGTATAATAATTAATACGCTCCGCTATTTAAAGGATCAAAAAAATTTTGTTTGTTTTTTTTTTTTTCATATTATCTATTAATAATATATCCTATTCGTAGGGAGAGGTATATAAAAAGGGTGAGGTTAAGTGGGTTACATTGCTCCTGTCTCCTTGTCCTCCGGATAAGAGTAAGCATTGCACCGCACTCCCAATTCAAAAATAACACCTTACCATTTTTTAATAGATTTAAGTTAGTATAAAGTAAATATAGTGGTAGTATTTTATGGGTTCAACTCTTTTTTAACCAATCTAAAAATATCTAAAGCCATACATTAGTTTCTATAGCTCAATGGTAGAGCGGAATACTGTTAATATTTTTATAGAGGTTCGATTCCTCTTGGAGACGGTAAGAAAAGATAATAATTAATTGCTTTATAGACGAGTATGTTTCCACCACTTCTAGGAATTTTTAGTCTCATACGATACATTGCTTATTGAGGTTTAATAAAAATAAACCTAACCTTAAAAAGAACCTGCAGCGGACAAATTTAAAAATTGACAATACCCCATCAAACAAAACTATTTATGCGGAATATAAATAAAAATGAATTTTGGTTCAATTCCAAATGATTAGTTATGTTATTTATTAGAAGCACTATTTTATTTTTAATCAACGCGGTCACTTTGAGGCCAGTAATTAAATTCTTTTTTAGGATATCTTCTCTTGAATAATAAATACATGAGAAGGGATATATGAAGGTTTATTCCAATCATCCTTTACAATATATAGCTTTGTGTTAGTATTATTATTAATAGCTATAACATTCTTAATAAATATTTACCCCAGACGTTTACAAGAACCAATGGGACTGACATTAAATAAAATATCTTATTTAGTTTTAACCAATATATTAATTATTCTTTTAGGGTCTTTATTGGTTATATTTTGGGTTAATAGCTTTGCCTACGATCCTTCTTTATTCTCTTTGCTTGTACCTATTTTAAGTCCTATTAAGAGTTACACAAATATCCTAGAAAATAAAAATAAAGCGGGTGTTTATATGTGAGAAAACTCAATTAATAAGAAAATTTATATAGGTTCTGCAGTAGATCTCTCAAATAGGCTTTCTTCTTATTATTCTACAACTTATATGGAGGATGCGTTAAAAAGAGGTCTTAGTCATATCTACTAGAAATCTGTGCACAAGTAAATTTACCACCGAGAGAACA